TTGTAAAAAACTGAGGAAATTCAGATTTTTAAAAACACACCTTAATAGATTGAAAGACGCTGATTTAAAACATCTAAATTACATTTTGATTGAAGAAGTTTGAGCCGAGTTATAGCGGTCCGGCACTTCCGACGCAACATTGCGTCTTTTATAGCAAATTGTCGAACCGCCAGTGACGGTACTGTAGGTAATAGGACGAGACGGCCAGTAATATGTATTTCGCTCCATTTGGCCTGCGCTTGAGGAACAGTTTTGTATTGTTGTGCAAAAAAGATTCATTCGATCTTCTCAGTTCAAAGGAATTGAGCGAAATCATTATACGATTTCATATTGAATAATTTTGTGCTTCTAAGTAACAAGGTAACAACAAAAAACGCGAAAACACCTGCATACAAAAAGCAGAGGGTTTTTAGAATTAATAGGTAATTGTTTTCAAGGTGAAACGAATATTATATAAGGTTTTGCGAATGGGCCAATAATGGAGAGTTATTATTTTCTTTGTGCTAAAAAAACAACTTTGGAAAGAGAACAGCTGTGATTAGCTTTTCAACACATAACCATATGTGCTAAAAGACAATAAGAGGCTTTCACTTCTGATTAACAACCAATTTCGCAATAAATTGTCCTTTAAAAAGCTAACCTGCTCGCGTCAGCGGCTAAATGAATTTGGCTGACCCGGTTTGAGGTGAAATGTGCTAACCCAAAATAATGCGGGTCACTTTAATGTAGCGGTTACGAAGAGCACAAGCGCAATAAATTATTTGTAACAAGCTTTGGAATTTGCTATGCCCTTTTGTCGCATCAGCACCCTTTACCCAAATGACCTCTGTTTCAGCTGTTTGAGCTCATTCTGTCTCAATGATACGATTGAGAGAGCACGCTTTGAGTGCTCAATTCGTTCGACTGGTCAATAAGAGCGCGAACGTTCATGTAGCTGCAGAATTCAGCACTTTTTCTACTTTATAACTAAACACGCTCCTTAATAGCCATGATAAGGATTGATTCTGTCGAGCATTCAAACGTACAAAACCTTTCATAAAAAGTGTGATTTTCGACTCCAGTTGCGCACACGTTTTCATATAATATTTTATTGTTTGATTTCGCTCACAATACTTCTCAAATTTATTGCAACATCACACTTGTACACTCTATTTTGTTTTACAAATATTTGATCTCACCATCTCTTATCTCCCCCTCCTAACGATCTTTTAAAATCCTTTCGTTTCCTCTGAGACTTCAATTAAAAGCCGATGTTTTTTTATACGTTGCATGCATTATTGACGACAAACTGAGTATCATATGAATCAGAACACCGCTCTATTTCGGTTGAACAGAAATAGCAACATAGGATGACCAGCAATGTGTGAATGTACTCTTGAAGTGCAATTTTTATTAACGAAATTTTACGACAGAATGTTCCCAGCTGATTGCTCTTTTTCGTAATTCAATAATAAATGACAGGACCGGTTGCACATCGGTAGGTAATGCTTGTTATAACAACAGAGTACCGTATTTTCATTCGAGAAAAAAGTGTAGGCCTCTGAATTGTATGTAACATGGAAAATTCATGTTAATAGTATTAATTAAAATTGGTACCTTGAGGCATCTCTTGAGTTCCATCTTGATATCCACTATAATTTTACCGTTTGAATCGCGTGGTGTATAGGTGAGAGCCTCATCAGTATACGAATGCCCGTCACTTATCACCATTTGCTTGATCTGGAAAACTTATATGGCTCTCAACTCATAACATAAAAATATAAAAAGGGCTACCTCGTTTTTAAAATATGCAGTCAGAGCAGCTGCCATGGAACTAGTATAAGGTTGATCGGTGAATATAGTGATCTCTGCTGGCTCAGAAGCAGCCTATAGAAATACTTCTGTTCATGATCAATTATTATTGGATTAGTAAAAATTTACTAATCTTTTTGCATTTGGACCCATCGCATTTCAACGACGGTGATTTTGTTTTACAAAGATTAATTCTTACTTTGTATGGCTAAACTGACTACTTACAGGTTCACATTTTAAAAGTAAATATTTGAGAAGCACATTTACAGCAAACAAGCGTTGCTAACCTTATCCATAGCTTTGCTCATTCTCTGAAACTGATCTATAGATAAACAGCATTATCATATGCAACGATTACTCGTCACTGTTCTTTCTCACAGTATTTAACTAAAACCCGCAGTTATCGGTCAAACTTTTATGAGCAGCGTAAGATATGCTTGCGATTAAGCACTTTGTCGATAATCTCTAATTCCATAGCTCGAAGGGCAAACCTACTGGTGCTATTAGAAGAAAAGCCAGAAAAAGAATAGCGAACTGCATCTGTGTGG